TGAATGCCCGTAAGTTGAGTGAAGAGTGAAGGCAGTACTGTATATCACACGCTTAATAAACCGTTTGTACTGTCCATGCAAGGTCAATATATTGATCTTGTGTACATGTCACTGTACTGAACGCCCATTGTGAGAGAATAAGTAGCACAAAATGATAGCGATTTTAAAAGCTTGTTCAAAACGCCCTTGAGGATTGAAGATGACTGAAAGCAACTGTTATGACCACTAGTCTAGTGTAACCTTACCACAAACACAGACACACAATACGATAACCTCTCTCTTTCTCAATTGTGATGGATTCGTAAACCCTACATAAACTTGATGGCTCTAACAAAAATATTCGTTTATTGTAATTGGCCGCGCGTTAATTAATTATAGTTGAAGGAGTTGACTGTATTTCGTGTCCTAGCAAACACTGTCCGGATAATATATCTGGAAATTAACGAAACTTAAGTCTCCTTCCTTTCTTCCAATTAATGCAGACTTCTAATTAATTCAGCCCCAATTTTAATTAATCCACGCTTCTAATTAATCCAAACCCTCTCCTAATTAATCCAGACCCTCTTCTAACTAATCCAGACTCTTCTAATTAATTCAGACCCTGCAGTTAATCCGATATAAAAGGGGTTTCCCGATTGTCCACAAACGTAAACATAAAATAATTGTCAAAGTACAACTGCCGGTAGAAGGGTCATGACGTGCATAAAGAGTATAGTGTACAGTATTTGGTCAAATATCGTTTCGGTAATCCACCAACGTGAAATGGTCAGAATCGTTCAAAACATCAAAAGACCATCGGAAAAAAAACGTAATTTCAACCTAACCTTACCTCGCCGGATGTCCGAAACTACACAGTACTAATACTGTTTATTTATCAGATAATTCATTAAACACAATACAGGACTGGCCTTTTTATCTTATAAATTTAAGATACGTATCGGTATTGTTGCATTTTCAACCAATATGTACCCGAAGGCTACGTTAGGTTAGATTAGGTTACCTTAAGTTTTGTTAGAAACAAATGATTTTCCACAAAAATCAATATAAAAATCGAATAAAACATCAAAATCATCGAAAAAAAAACATTGCTCAACTCGAGCCATTTATATATTGGTTGAAATGCCAATTTACCCACGTACCTTATTTATACCCCTATATATATATATATATATATATATATATATATATATATATATATATATATATATATATATATATATATATATATATATATATATTCTTTTTAATCTAATAAGCTAAAATAATTAGGAAGTATTTGACTTTGCATGTTTGAATACATTGTCAGTGTTTCCCCCTTTTATCAGATACGTCACTGACGTATCAAATCGATGAATGAAATATTAAAGTATTTTTCGGTACTAATGTTCCCACACTCGCTATTTGCAGTAATCACTGATTTCCTTATTTTTATTAATAAAAGCAACCAAGCAGCAAGTGTTGAAGGAAACAAGCAAGATGCTGAACAAATGAGGCTACAATCAATAAGCATTTATGAGTCGACTCCGGCATTAGGTACGGCAGTAAAGACGCATGGAGAGTAGTGTACAGTACATGATCCACAAGCAATATAATTAAATGGAAATTATTTAATTAAAAATACCGGAGGAAGGCGTCAGGGCCTCTGTATGTAGACCTTAAATTTCGTCTTTCCAGTGTTGGTACAGGACGCTGCAGTATCCGGGGTCAATCTGACATGTTATTAAGACAACACTTCACATCCGACCCAAGATGAAATTGTACCCGGGCCGCAGTGGTGACAGGCAAGCACATTATACCTCTGCAACACGTGTCACGGGGATCACTGCGTACAGCCACGTAAGCTCGGCCTCACGTATTGCAGGCCGAGAATAAATCCGCGACGTCAACCGCACGAACCTAGTCACGTAGTATCACATAACCTTACATAGAGCGCACCCGGGGGATGGGAGACGCATGTACCTCCTCTTGCTTTGTCCAGCTTTAGACTGAGTCTGTGACACTCATTATATGGCCATGAGATGGTAGTCAACCAACCCAGTGTCAGCGCATCACAGAAAGGATAAGTCCCTCCATTGCGTCACATTTCTGAGTATTCTTTTTCTGTTATGTGATGTAGCGCAAATGATGAACGTTACTTTACACAAAAGTCTTCAAACACGACTGTGTGGTCGTGACCACAGCCTGGCAAACTCTTTACTTCTTAGCAGACACCGGGGAAATTAATGTATGAATATGTAAATATTAACATGTACAACGGTATACCAGAGCAAAGACCAACTTTTCCCAGTGAGTTTTAAAGGTTAGTGAGTGTGAGAGGGCGTGTGATTGTCAACGAAAGTGTTGTGCCCACACGGCTGATCAGTGGCCACGAAGGATAAAAGTAAATAAACCATTTTAACCACCATTTTATATTATTTTTTAAGTTGTATTATATTGCATCATTTCCTTGTACATTTACATCGCATAGCTGATGAAACAAGATTTTGCCCTGAAGCAACTTACTGTCATTAGCCCTTAAGATTAAACCAAATGTGCATAAATTCGTATGATTTCACCCTCTTCATAGACACCAACAACAACATTAGCGATGGACTTGATATGACATTCAAGAACTAATTTTGCTGTAAAGTTAACGTTTTGGTAACATTATAATATTATGGTGTTGTCGTTCGGTAATATTATGACATTCTTTGAAATTCAACATATTTTGTATGATCTAAAAGAACAGGGCTTATGTATTGGTCCCTTCCCACGATGTTACACAATGAAATAATAACATTGACTAATTGATAAATACCTGACAATTGCAGTGGACGAAGACACACTCATTTATCATTCGAGATGAGGCGTCGTTGCTAATTAATCTCTTGTATAACACACTTCTAGGTCTCCCTGTTCACCTCCTAACTCATGATTTCACCTTTACACAAAATTAATGTCAAATTCCAGAAAGTCGTCGTAGATATTGAAGTGCGTGAGGAGGTGGGAGGAGAGTGGGCAACAGACAGCTGCCTCGAGTGAGGTGTGAGCGTCTGCTGTAGCCGGGGCACGGGTGTTGTCTGGCCGAATGGACAGGTTACAAGTGTTGTTCAATCGTTTGAGCTGAAATCCTTCCTTCATATCCGAGCTCAATTGTCTGTGTGTTGGGCCTTAACAGTTGATGAATAGTGTACTGTACAGTATGTACTAAGATTACGCGATTAAAATGACCTCATAGTTGTCGAAGTTAGCAGTTGATGACTACTTTGTATAATTAGCGTTCACTCTTAATGACAATTTTCACTTAAAATGAGGACGATAATGTAACTAAGAAAGACGATTTTGATGTAATAGAATCACTTAATCAAACGTGTATTTATAATTTCAGTGCATTTAAATGTCCAATCACCCATAAGTCCTGTCGCCTCTCCTGAACCACGAACCCCGAGATCCAGACTCGTGAATCCAAAGCATTTATGGACAGAATAATGAATGCATTCGTGTCTACTGCTTTGGGTTCACAAATCTGAATCTCGGGGTTCGTGGTTCATGGCGAGTTGATTGTCCTATTTTTTTTTTCGGGGATATTTTACAGATTGCCTAATTTATTTTGACACATGGAGTGTTACATAGCCTAGTTTATTATTACAAGCGCAAGTAAACACGTCCTCTACCTCTCATAATTTTGTAATTGCTGATTTAATAGTGCCATTGCTAACCTTGTTATACGCGCTTAAAGACCAAAGTTGTTGAAGCTCAGTAATAACATTATAACAACAACAACAGGCCAATAAGGCCCCTATCTGCGTCAACCTAGTGGCCTTAACGTCAGATATCACAGAAAGGTTGACGGATCGTCAGCCTAACGACGTCAGCTATATGCGTGTCACGTGTGTGATGCATGTATAACAGACTGAGCGTACTAAGAGATATATACTGTACTGTTTATTGTTACATTCATTTAAACAACACAAATACACACACACTTTTTCCTATTATGACAGTGAGTAAACCAGTTTTGATATTTATAACTGACCACTCGGGTGAGGAGGAGGAGGTGGTTCTGCTTAAAATAGAACTCTCCTCACACCGGATGCTACACGGGCACGCAAACGTAAACAAAAAACAAACAGCCAGTACAGGGTATAATAATAATAACAAAGATAAGAAGCAACAAATATAAATTAAAATTAAAAACAGCCAGAATAACGGAATGGGAAAGAAAGTAAAATCAGGTAGACAGAAAACAAAAGGGGAGAAGATAAAGAGACAGAGAGAAAGAAGGAAAGCATAAGAGAGAAGAAAGAGAAAAACAGAATAATTGTAGATAGAGATAATAATAACGGAAAACGAAAGATAAAACAGGATGCTTAAGCTCCTCTACGTGTGTGTTGGTGTGGGGATTAGTGGATGACATTATGACCTGACCTCATGTTTAATAAGGTCACCCTGTATATTTAAGCCTCTCTCTGTCCATGTTATCCAGTTGCCTCTGAAGATGTCTTGAATAAAGACGAAAGCTAAGGTGCTCCGTTGTTTCCCATTTCCCGTGTGATTTTATCAAGATATATATATATATATATATATATATATATATATATATATATATATATATATATATATATATATATATATATATATATGCAAGTAAATCACTGTGGGTGCGCGTGATCCAGGTATATGCTGATAACCACAAGGAAAGAAGAAAACACGAAGTTCCCAAGCGCTTTCGTGTAATTCACATCTTCAGGGGTGAGACAGTCTGTACTCACCCCTGAAGATGTGAATTACACGAAAGCGCTTGGGAACTTCGTGTTTTCTTCTTTCCTTGTGGATATATATATATATATATATATATATATATATATATATATATATATATATAATATATATATATAATATATATATATATATATATATATATATATATATATATATATATATATATATATAATAAGAGAGAGAGAGAGCGCCTATCACACACCGCTTCAAAGAAAATATCTCGTTGCCTCATCACGTACCTCTGAAGGTCAAGAATATACGGCTTATGGCATGTCCGGCCAACGTCTTCCTTCTGTCCGGCCTACGTCTTCCTTCTGTCCGGCCAACGTCTTCCTTCTGTCCGGCCTACGTCTTCCTTCTGTCCGGCCAACGTCTTCCTTCTGTCCGGCCTACGTCTTCCTTCTGTCCGGCCAACGTCTTCCTTCTGTCCGGCCAACGTCTTCCTTCTGTCCGGCCTTCGTCTTCCTTCTGTCCGGCTAACGTCTTCCTTCAGTCCGGCCTACGTCTTCCTTCTGTCCGCCTACGTCTTCCTTCCGTCCGGTCTTCGTCTTCCTTCTGTCCGGCTAACGTCTTCCTTCTGTCCGGCCTTCGTCTTCCTTCTGTCCGGCCAACGTCTTCCTTCTGTCCAGCTAACGTCTTCCTTCTGTCCGGCCTACGTCTTCCTTCTGTCCGGCCAACGTCTTCCTTCTGTCTGACCTCCGACCTCCGTCTGTTCAGCTCCCGACCTTCTCCTTAGCCTCCTTCGTCCTCAGGGAATGTCTCACGCGTCCGCTAGATATATACGGTTTCCTCTTCACATATCCTCTTATTACATTTAAAAGCTTTCCACATAATGTTCCTCCTTCCATTAGTTCTCATTTCCATTATAAACATCAATGTCATTCATTGACTTTAATTTTGCTTTTCATTTCCTGTGGTTATAACGTATTCGTACACTCAATGTTATTCAGTTATAGGTTCCACTTTAAAGATTTCAACACTAACTGTGTCAAGGCTTTATCTTTTATTCTTGGTTTAAATCTGTTACAGACACGATTTTATCTCTTCACTGCCCACCAATACTGATATTGTACTCTTGATAGAGGCAACAGGCAGTTGTATCAGTGTCCTTAACTGTCTAATTAGTGACACTTCTCACATTAAAACGTGAACACAACTTCAGCAACAAGATGACACTTACGTATAATGTTTACCAGACAAGGCGACATGTACAGACAATTTATCAGTTACGACAAACATGTTGGCAGACACATATATACTGTACACAGTGGCGGACAAAACACAACTGATATCGCTCAAGCTTATATAAGCAGCCAGACGAAAGGATTGTGTTGCCTGCTCGGGAATTTCCTGTTCGATTAGCCGAGAACTGTGGACCAGCAGATCATGTGGTGGGGAGGGGGGAGGGGGAAAGATTTGCCCTTGTGTGTGTTTGGGGTCTAGACTGACGTTCCTGGTATTGTGTGTAGGAGAGGAGAGGATTTGTGTATGTGTGTGGAGTAGAGTGTGTGTGTGTGTGTGTGTTTCAGGAGGGTTTAGGAATGTATTTTTAATAAGAATACATATATTATGTGTACACATGTTTGTACTTGAGGATGTGTGTACTGGATATATGTAGGTGAATTTGTGTATGCGTACGTATAATTGTGTATCTTTGTGTATGTGTACGTGTTGTGGTTGGGGAGGAGGGGGAGAGGGAGGAGGGACAGGTGAGGGAGGGAGAGCGAGACCTGTGCCAATAGCTAATTCAGGATGTTGGAGGAGACAAACCTCCCTCCGTCCCCATCATTCCCTACCATCACCCCGATCCTCCCCCTCCCCCACACCACCCCTCCCTCTCCCATAGCCTAGTATTATTTCAGGAACAACAAGCACTGGTTTACATAATATCACGTACAATACTTTTACTTTTATCCTCTTTAATTTCCCTTGGGTGAAAGAATAAAAAAGGTAAATAGTATCTTGATGATTTTTAAGATAATTAATAGGAGATAAATTCGTTATGTATAGTTATATTACTATAAATTTTAATGGGATTTTTGGTGCTTGATAAACCATATCTAACAGTACGCAAACAGCTTAAGTCACCTCACCAGTCACCGCAACGTCACACCAGCCACACATTGTGATGGCTGAAGGTCGCCGACACACGTCACAGCCATTTGCTGGGAAACGGTGGGTTAATTACAAACAGCATATTGGATCACTCTCTCCCTCCGCCTTGTATGGTGGTACAATGATTTCTCTCTTTCCACAGGTCACATATGTTTACAGATGTTAAAAGAAAACAACAATATGGTATTTCTCTTGTCATGTATAATATGTTAAGACAAAGCGTAAGAGACGTGACCGATCAGTGGTGTAGACTGTAGACGATAAAATTAATAAGTAAAAAAGTATTTTGACTCTTCAGTGTTATAAACCCTTGATGAACATAGATAAATACAAAGGTATAGCTATTGCAAATATTTAAGGCTGAAACTTTACAAGAATATCGAAATAAATTGGAACACCACACGAGGCTCTATGTTGTCTGCGACGGTGTTAAGCGACCCATAGGGAGGGACTTAATATTAATTCGCTCAGATCTGAGATTTTTTTTTCCTTCGAGTGTATATTTTAGCTCAGGTTTTACAGATCAAAGATAAAAACCACGAAATTCAGGGTGTAGGATGGCAACTAGCTCGATCCATCCGATATACTTTTTTGAATTTAAGACAATTGAAAAGTTTTGCACCTAATATAAGCTTACAGAAGCCCCCCCCCCCCTCTTCCTCTCAGTGATGCCGAGTCTTGGGATTAATGTTCGTTTTTTCCCCCTCTTTCATAATGTCAAAATTATATCAAAGGGATTTGAGGGAAATGGGAATTTAAATGTATGAAGTTAATAAATGAACATTACCAGGTATCATTCATTGATGGGCGGAGAGTTAGTTTCATTTATATTAAAGAGACCGAGTTAGTTGCTATTTATTTCACCAAATGAACATCTTACCATTAACATTTGTGCGGGGAATTTAACAATGGTTATACATTTCCATTTATAACCTGACAAGTTACAGTACCTAAGAATAGTATATCAACAACGGCTCTGACAACTCGTGTTTCTTCACTACAGGAACCACGAATCATTATACCATATAGTAGACTCGACTACCGTACTTACATAAACACTAGAACTGTAGGTTTACTTCTACAGTACATTTATCCTCTTCGCCACTGATCTTTAGCCGCATGGGCGATCGATCACATATCTGTTACGCACTGTTGGCAAGTACTGGCTCCTGAATGTATCTGAACCTGCACTCGGTGCCATCACAACACTCTCCGACAGGTTGTTCCAAGAGTTTGCAATTCTCACTCCGAAAAAGTTTTCCCCATTGTGAGAAGGTGAATCAGGCAACGAACCTAGTAGGTCTTATAAGAAAGCCGTTTAGATATCTAGATGATCCGTCAATCATCGCGATCTTCAAAAGTAAGGTGCTTCCCGGTCTGGAGTATTGTCACCCTGTAGGGGTATCGAGATATTAATGTTGTCTAGCACTCAGGATGGAAGGAAACTCTAATGTGGTTTTCTTGTATAATATATAAGTTATATGAAGACAGTCTGGTGCTGGAGATGCCGTGTGGTGGGGAGCTGCTCAGTAGAAGACGTTCGGTGAGTAGCGTGTTGAAGGAGGTAGATGTGCAGGAGCTTCGTTAGAGAATATGTTGCCTGTTGCTGGCCTCCTGGTTGAATGAATGCTGGACAGCTAGGAGCTTGCTGGGAGGTGTTGCGTGTTCAGGAAGATGGGCAGAATGAGAATTGGTTGGTGAGGAAGCTCAGAGGGCGGCTGGTGGGTCGCCATGCTCGCTGGCGGGAGCGAGGGCCGCCAGGCAGGCGAGGAGATGCGAGGACTGCCAGGCAGCGGCAGAGGAGGAGGTGTTGCTTGTTCAAGAAGAATGGTCAGAATGAATCTCAATGGAGAGACAGAGCTTATATACCCAGCAGCAGCCGCTATGAGTCATGTTGGGAAAACCCAGAAAGTCGCCGTGAATAGTTTCGTTGCTAGGCAACGGCACGTTGGAATGTGATAGGAGGTGGTGGCGGTGCTACGCAGTTTGTAGGGGAGACGTCCACTACAATACTCCCCCTTCCCTCCAGGCGGTGTAGGAGACTTGTTGATTGTAGAGTTGCTTAGCACATGTGAGGCAGACCGGGCGGTGCATGCCTCATGTGAGACAACGGCGATGGCGTGATGAGCCGATCGCTGAAATACAACTGTCTAGATACACACTATCTGTGGGAGAAGGGAGAAAAAGGGTGTGTGGAGGCGATGATTGGTGTGCTTCCCTCACGACAGGTACAGGGTCGTCAGATGCGCCTGCTGGGGTGTGTGTGGGCCTGGGTCAGGAGCAGGGGCTGCGTCAGCAGAAGCGGATTAGGGCTCGTGACAGCAACTGGGTCCACGACAGCAGCAGGGTGCAGGACATTAGCAGGGAGTACCTGAGAGAGAAAAGAGGGGGTGTGGAGGCGATGGATGTTGTGTGCTTCCCTCACGGCAGGTACTGCTGGGCCGGGGTCGGCGTCTGAGGCAGGACGGGTGTGCTGGGGTCGTCAGAATGTGGTGCGTGGGGCAGGAAGAGGAGCCGGTGTCTGCTTGAAGACTGGGAGCGTGATCAGTGTCTCCTCCATCCTGTGTGAGTGCTAATCTCCGGGAGTAACCATTGTAGGGGTTTCGAGATATTAATGTTGTCTAGCACTCAGGATGGAAGGAAACTCTAAGGTGGTTTTCTTGTATAATATAAGTTATATGATAGACAGTCTGGTGCTGGAGATGCCGTGTGGTGGGGAGCTGCTCAGTAGAAGACGTTCGGTGAGTAGCGTGTTGAAGGAGGTAGATGTGCAGGAGCTTCGTTAGAGAAGATGTTGCCTGTTGCTGGCCTCCTGGTTGAATGAATGCTGGACAGCTAGGAGCTTGCTGGGAGGAGGTGTTGCGTGTTCAGGAAGATGGGCAGAATGAGAGTTGGTTGGTGAGGAAGCTCAGAGGACGGCTGGTGGGTCGCCATGCTCGCTGGCGGGAGCGAGGGCCGCCAGGCAGGCAAGGAGATGCGAGGGCTGCCAGGCAGCGGCAGAGGAGGAGGTGTTGCTTGTTCAAGAAGAATGGTCAGAATGAATCTCAATGGAGAGACAGAGCTTATATACCCAGCAGCAGCCGCTATGAGTCATGTTGGGAAAACCCAGAAAGTCGCCGTGAATAGTTTCGTTGCTAGGCAACGGCACATTGGAATGTGATAGCAGGTGGTGGCGGTGCTAGCAGTTTGTAGGGGAGACGTCCACTACAACCCCGTCTGGTCCCCGAGATATGCTAGAGACTGCCAATTGATTGAAAAAGTCCAAAGGAAAGCCACCAGAATGGTGCCTGCTCTTCGAAACCTCAGTTACCCAGAGAGTGGGGCGCCTGCAACTACCTAGCTTATACTACAGACGGGCGACCTAATCGAAGTGCATAAACATCTCTGGGGGCACTATTCGGTCGCACGTCCATACCTGGAGCTGGCGGACGCTTGCCCACAAGGGGTCAAAGCTCAAGGTTGAAGAAGCCACGAGTCCAGAAAACTGTGAGGGGTAACTTTTCCGGAGTGAGAATTGTGAACTCTTGGAACAACCTGCCAGAGTGTGTTGTGACGGCACAGAGTGTGAGCTCATTCAAGGCCAGACTTGACCAGCACTGGAGCAGGTTCTGATATATTCAGGAGCCAGTATCAGCCAATAGTGCGTATCAGATGTGACCGACCGCCCAAGCGGCTACCAAGAGAAGAGGATAAAATAAAATAAAAGACATTTTTCAGAATTTATGGCTTCTTCAACCTTGAGCTGTGACCCCTAGTTTCCATCTTGACTGAGTAATGTCCTCGGTAATGTTTAAAAACTTCAATTAAGTCACCCTTTACCCGTTTATAGTATAAGCTAGGTTACTGCAGGCGTTCTGGGTAACTGAAATCTGCTCCAAGTGTTGTGGCAAGATACCAATAAATAAGGTAATTAAGGTCCAAAGTATTTATTGTTACATTTTGAAGGTTGTAAGGGCAGTAACGATCTTCCTGCTCGTTCCCGCTGCTCACTCGCTCGTTTGCTGGCGCAACCCCTACTTGGGGGGGGGGTTAGACGGAGGTGAGGAAGTCGCTGCTACCAGAGACACCGGCTCAGACATTTCCCAACTTCAAACCAGACACACCTCGCTGCTCACCCAAATTCTGGCGGTGTTCTCATCAAAGGCTCTGGATTCGTGGGCTGTGTCCCCAGACCTTCACCTATCGACTGTCAATCTCTGGAGACCTATCCCAAACTACTACCTCGGCTGCCACGACCGTCAGTTCATCTCCACCGTCTGTGTCCCGGTGTTTCGTCTGTTGTGTCAACACATCCGCCGCTGCCGCTCAAGTGTGGAGATGAATGGACCTTCCCCAGGGCCGCTGCCATAGGAATTATCTGTTCATTGTTTGATTCTCTTGTTTGTTTGATTCCATTTAATTGTTTGATTCCATCAGTTGTTGACTTCCATTAATTGTTTGATTCCATCAGTTGTTGACTTCCATTAATTGTTTGACTCCATTAACTGTTGACTGCATTAATTGTTTGACTCCCGTAATTGTTATTTCAAGTTGCTGAGTGGTGTCAGATTTTTGTGTTATATTTTTATAGTAAAGAGACGTCAATCACAAACACTTGTTTGTTATTCCTCAGAAAACCATGGTCCTTGACTTTCCTTTTAAAAGATCCTGATTAGGCTGGTAAGGGTTTTCTATCCCTAAGTCCCAGGCCTTTACAAAGGTTTATTCCTTGCAGCATATGGGCCGCCAACGCCAATAACACACACACACACACACACACACTGTACTTCCCAACAGGAAGACGCAGAAAATTGGTATAGTGTTTATAACTCCTGCCAATCATAATTTTTACACAATTAATCACACCAACCGTTTTGTCTGTAACCAGGCACCCCGCTGTGGTAAATAGTGTCGCACATCTATTTAAAATCAACAGAGGCCAAGATAGGAGTTGTTATCGAATTCTCGATACTTTTCCAGAAGTTACGGGATGATAAAACGGTCAATTGTTGATTTGATTTCTTTTGGCCACTGTACTAGCGCTCCCCAGTTATAAAGGTGATTGTGGTTCTAACCTATTCCATATAATTGTAATTAGAATGAATATATTGTTAGTAGAACGTATATATTTATGAAATTACTACACTCGAGTTTATTTCCTGAATTCTAGACTTCACTTTAAGCTACCTACACATTGTTCCACCTCAGAATCCTCTTATGCTGGCGATGGTCTCCTGTATCCAGCGGAGGAACTTGGTGACCTTAGTGTAATTATCAGGACTGGTTAACCTTCCACAGGTCAGCCCGGTGCTCACAATACCGTACAGAGTGTGAACACCGTCCTTCTCACAAGTGAGAGGTCCACCAGAGTCACCCTTGCAAGGGTTGACCACATTTTCTGTACTGCTGCTGGCGCACAACATAGAAGATGTGTAGTTCCCCACTCCGCCAGACGGAAGGTAACATTGGTCGTCACTCAGGATGTTCACTGCGGCAGTCCGTGGAAGCACAGTGTTCTGGCAATGTAATATCAATACATGTAGTGGTCCAGGGTGCACCAGCAACAATAAAATTAAAACCTGGTAAATATTCGTTTTGGCGCCCAGTCAAATTCGATGACAAGGAAACTTTTTTTTTGGGGGTAATTTCCATGCGCTATTTGTTTCTTGTGAAAGTGCATAATTTTCTTGAAACTACGTGGTGAATAACGTAGAAACCTAACACAACAAAAATGGAAGTACTCTTAAGCCCCGTCCACACGATCGAGCAGTGCCCGACGGGCACGTGCTAAATGCCCGTTATCTGGCAAAATTGGCGGGCAAACCAGCTGAGTGCCCGTGCCCGTCGTTGAGTGAAATCATGGTCAGCCTGCCTGGTGGTTTGCTGCAGGATATGGAGCGACGACTCTGAGTACTGCAAATGTGATACGTATATGTTCCCTGCTTGGTCCAGATGTCCAATGTATAACCAAATAAGCTTATGCAATGTACATTATTGGCGTGACAATAAACGGGAGATTGTTTATGTATTATGTAATGAGGACATTCGTGTGTGTTCTTCGTTCCTGCCGCTCTCCTCACTCTAGTCCCATAGCTTCCTGTCTATGCATATCATAATTCTAACATTATTCAATTAATTTTTATGTACTACAAATCTCACCTGCAAGTAATATTCCTTTAGTACTTCATACAAGGCTTGACAAGTTGCAGGTATTATGCTAGACAAACTTTGTTTTGATATCCTCGTTCTATACTGAAGTGACGTGTAGGTGCACCCAGTTGAAAGATATATGAGCGTTGCCTCTAGACAAGCCTCTGCAGATATACTCTCCCTCATATTGGTATCCTGTTTTTTTATATATGGTTCCACTTTCGCTAGAAGTTTGTAAAAGGTGTTGGGGTCCATGCTCATGTAATTGGTGAAGTCTTGCTCATGTCCATCTTGCAGTTCACATAAAATCGTGGCATGACTTCCCGGTACTTTTCTTCGACCTAACCACTCTGCACCATTCCCTTTTCTGTCTTTGGTTCTTCTTTTTGCACATAGCAGCAATTATTATAGTACACAACGCTATGCTCTTCGCTTTAACTGTCCGGTGATTATTCCTGCGACACACCATGGTGATCGTACCGCACCCGCCACTGCCTACCACCTACTAGCTACCGGCGCCCGACTATGACTGCCGACAACCATCCCCTTGTGTACAACAACACACAGGCTTTGCCAGGTAAACGGGCAAAGCCCGCCGGGCACTGCTCGATCGTGTGTCTACTGTGAAGATAAAAAACCTGCATTAGCTTTTAGTGGTGCATTCGTTTGGGGACACTTAACGATGCAGGCATAACGCTATAATCAACAATCACTTGCACCACTATATCATCATTAAGTCCAACATGACGTATTACTTTTACTTTTATCCTCTTCACCACTGATCTGCTCGTTACCCGCTGTTCTTAAAGCCAAAAGCGACACGAATTGCACATCCTTCCACGAACGTGTCACCATACAAACTGATGCACCATATCAGTATTGTAACATCACGTGACATAGAGTACGGAAAAATGAACGACATCCCTCTTTACGCGCCACCAATTATTGAACACAAATTACAAGCGTTATATCAATTTGCACAAGAAACGACACAGTAATTCCCATAGTTAGAAAAGCCATCACAGTATGCTATTCACTTTTTAAAAGTTTGACTGGGCGCCGAAACAATTATTAACCCCAAACCTAACTTATTTTAATGCTATTACCTAACTCTGCTCTAAGCCTCACCTGACAAACCCCACGACGGGAACTTACAGGTGGGTAACAGCCAGATAAAGTTAGCTCATGGGGGAGGAATGTTCAGGTCATCAAAAATAAAACCAATGGTTTTGTATTTCTATATCGCTCACCTAACCTAACCAAACAATAAAATATAATGTCCAAAGGTTGTATGATACAGTAGATGTTGTATGATACAGTAGAGGCTGTATGATACAGTAGGGGATGTATGAAACAATAGAGGTTGTATGATACAGTAGGGGATGTATGATACTGTATGATACAGTAGGGGATACAGTAGTTGTATGATACACAGAGTATGATACAGTAGGATGTATGATACAGTAGAAGTTGTATGATACAGTAGGGGATGTATGATACAGTAGAGGTTGTATGATACAGTAGGGGATGTACGATACAGCAAAAGTTGTATGATACAGTAGGAGATGTATGATACAGTATGATACAGTAAAGGATGTATGATACAATAGAGGATGTACGATACAGTAGAAGTTGTATGATACCGTAGAGGATGTATGATACAGTAGAGGTTGTATGATACAGTAGGGGATGTATGTTAAAGTAGAGGTTGTATGATACAGTAGGGGATGTATGATACAGTAGAAGTTGTATAATACAGTAGATGTTGATTGTATGATACAGTAGATCTTCGTTGTATGATACAGTAGAGGTTGTATGATACAGTAGGGGATGTATGATACAGTAGAGGTTGTATGATACAGCAGAGGTTGTATGATACAGTAGGGGATGTATGATACAGTAGAGGTTGTATGATACAGTAGGGGATGTATGATACAGTAGAAGTTGTATAATGCAGTAGATGTTGATTGTATGATACAGTAGATGTTCGTTGTATGATACAGTAGAGGTTGTATGATACAGCAGAGGTTGTATGATACAGTAGGGGATGTATGATACAGTAGAGGTTGTATGATACAGTAGGGGATGTATGATACAGTAGAAGTTGTATAATACAGTAGATGTTGATTGTATGATACAGTTGATCTTCGTTGTATGATACAGTAGAGGTTGTATGATACAGCAGAGGATGTGAGATACAGTAGAGGATGTATGATACAGTAGATGTTCGTTGTATGATACAGTAGAGGTTGTATGATACAGTAGGGGATGTATGATACAGCAAAAGATGCATGATACAGTAGAAGTTGTATAATACAGTTGGGGATGTATGATACAGTAGAGGATGTGAGATACAGTAGAGGATGTATGATACAGTTGATCTTCGTTGTATGATACAGCAAAAGTTGTATGATACAGTAGAAGTTGTATAATACAGTTGGGGATGTATGATACAGTAGAGGATGTGAGATACAGTAGAGGATGTATGATACAGTTGATCTTCGTTGTATGATACAGTAGAGGATGTATGATACAGTAGAGGTTGTATGATACAGCAGAGGATGTGAGATACAGTAGAGGATGTATGATACAGTAGATGTTCGTTGTATGATACAGCAGAGGTTGTATGATACAGTAGGGGATGTATGATACAGTTGATCTTCGTTGTATGATACAGCAAAAGTTGTATGATACAGTAGAAGTTGTATAATACAGTTGGGGATGTATGATACAGTAGAGGATGTGAGATACAGTAGAGGATGTATGATACAGTTGATCTTCGTTGTATGATACAGTAGAGGATGTATGATACAGTAGAGGTTGTATGATACAGCAGAGGATGTGAGATACAGAAGAGGTTGCATGATGATACAGTAGAGGTTGTATACAGAAGAGGTTGTATGGTACAGTAGAGGTTGTATGATACAGAAGAGGTTGCATGATACAGTAGAGGTTGTATGGTACAGTAGAGGATGTATGATGCAGTAGAGGTTGTATGATACAGAAGAGGTTGTATGATACAGTAGAGGTTGTATGATACAGTAGAGGATGTATGATACAGTTGAGGTTGTATGATACAGTAGAGGTTGTATGATACAGTAGAAGTTGTATGATACAGTAGAGGTTGTATGGTACAGTAGAGGTTGTATGATACAGAAGAGGTTGCATGATACAGTAGAGGTTGTATGATACAGTGGGAGTTGTATGATACAGAGAAGTTGTATGATACCATTAAGTTGTATGATACAGTAAGTTGTACGATGCAGTAGAGGTTGTATGATACAGGTTGTATGATACAGTAGAGGTTGTATGATACAGAAGGGGATTGTATGATACAGTAGAGTTGTATGATACAGAAGAAGTTGCTTATGATACAGTGGGGTTGTATGATACAGAAGTTGTATGGTACAGTAGAGGATGTATGATACAGTAGAGGATGTATGATACAGTAGAGGTTGTATGGTACAGAAGAGGTTGTATGATACAGTAGAGGTTGTATGATACAGTAGAGGTTGTATGATACAGAAGAGGTTGCATGATACAGTAGAGGATGTATGATGCAGTAGAGGTTGTATGATACAGAAGAGGTTGTATGGTACAGTAGAGGTTGTATGGTACAGTAGAGGTTGTATGATACAGTAGAGGTTGTATGATACAGAAGAGGTTGCATGATACAGTAGAGGATGTATGATGCAGTAGAGGTTGTATGATACAGAAGAGGTTGTATGGTACAGTAGAGGATGTATGATACAGTAGAGGTTGTATGATACAGAAGAGGTTGTATGATACAGAAGAAGTTGTATGATACAGTAGAGGTTGTATGATACAGAAGAAGTTGTATGATACAGTGGGGTTGTATGATACAAGTTGTATGATGCAGTACAGGTTGTATGATACAGAAGGGGTTGTATGATACAAAAGAAGTTGTGTGATACAGTAGAGGTTAGAGGAGGTAGTATGATACAGAAGGGTTGTATGATACAGTAGAAATTTGTATGATGCAGTAGAGATTGTATGATACAAAAAGAAATTGTGTGATACAGTAGAAATTTAGAGGTTGCATGATACAGTAGAGGTTGTATGGTACAGTAGAGGATGTATGATGCAGTAGAGGTTGTATGATACAGAAGAGGTTGTATGATACAGTAGAGGTAGTATGATACAGAAGAGGTTGTATGATACAGTAGAGGTTGTATGATACAGTAGAGGTTGTATGATACAGTAGAAGTTGTATGATACAAAAGAGATTGTGTGATACAGTAGAGGTTAGAGGTAGTATGATACAGAAGAGGTTGCATGTTACAGTAGAGGTTGTATGATACAGTAGAGGTTGCATGTTACAGTAGAGGTTGTATGATACAGTAGAAGTTGTATGATACAAAAGAGATTGTGCGATACAGTAGAGGTTAGAGGTTGTATGATACAGAAGAGGTTGCATGTTACAGTAGAGGTTGTATGATACAGTAGAGGTTGCATGTTACAGTAGAGGTTGTATGATACAGAAGAGGTTGCATGTTACAGTAGAGGTTGTATGATACAGTAGAAGTTGTATGATACAAAAGAGATTGTGCGATACAGTAGAGGTTAGAGGTTGTATGATACAGAAGAGGTTGCATGTTACAGTAGAGGTTGTATGATACAGTAGAGGTTGTATGATACAGTAGAGGTTGTATGATACAGTAGAAGTTGTATGATACAAAAGAGATTGTGCGATACAGTAGAGGTTAGAGGTTGTATGATACAGAAGAGGTTGCATGTTACAGTAGAGGTTGTATGATACAGTAGAGGTTGTATGATACAGTAGAGGTTGTATGATACAGTAGAGGTTGTATGATACAGTAGAAGTTGTATGATACAAAAGAGATTGTGTGATACAGTAGAGGTTAGAGGTTGTATGATACAGAAGAGGTTGCATGTTACAGTAGAGGTTGTATGATACAGTAGAGGTTGTATGATACAGTAGAAGTTGTATGATACAAAAGAAATTGTGTGATACAGTAGAGGTTAGAGGTTGTATGATACAGAAGAGGTTGTATGTTACAGTAGAGGATGTATGACACAGTAGAGGTTGTATGATACAGTAGAGGTTGTATGATACAGTAGAAGTTGTATGATACAGTAGAAGTTGTATGATACAGAAGAGATTGTATGATACAGAAGAGGTTTGTATAATACAAAAGAGGTTGTATGATACAACAGAGGCTGTATAACACAGGAAATATGGGCTGGGTTGTGTGTCCAAATACCTTACCGTTCCATTTTTGTGGAATCTGCCCCATCCAGCGATCATACAGGAGGCCCCAAGTGTCCTAGTTGGCTCCCCGACTCTGGGCAGACAAGCAGCTTGCACACGCCCGCCCAATCTGTCAGCCGGAAACTCCCAAATTAATCCAAACTTACAATGAAATAGTAATGATACAAAGACGTTGTGTTTATGGCAACATTTTCACCCCTGTACTGCGTAAATTAACCACACTGACTCACGTTATTCCCCGGCCAAACTTTCGCTGTATTTTGACAAGGGTGATATCGTTGTCAGCAAAAGCTACTTCATTGTAGTGTTCGTGGACCCGTATTTTATCAACATCAAACTCCTGTCCGGAATACCAAGGCGTCATGAAAAACAATAAATAGCAGAAACAATAATAATAATTATTCTTCACCTTTCCCACCATTCACTTGTATAAAGTGAATAAACCCATATTAAAGATAATACGCAATAAAATGATACAGTAAAGAACAACTAAGATATAACATGAGATGATCAAGATACCTCCTCGCCGGGCTCTTTTTCCAGGGAGTTGTAGTCTCCGACGCGGATGACGAGCGTGTAGGGAGCCAGGAGTTCAAAGCAGTGGGCCGCTGTCAACACGTAGTCCTCCGATATGATCACCGCCCCGCACAATAGCTGTGGCGCTCTGGCCTACCAACACCAAGTTAACAGTTGTTGTAACACGCGCGGTTATTGCCCATAGTTGTAATCAAAGTTTATTAATTCGACTTTGGTTGTAATATTACAGTAAGATGATAATTGAAGAAATGGGAAGTTTAAGGTTGTAACATGAAGTTTGTAGATACAACACAATGTTTATAGCTGCAATACATGTTTATGGGTGTAACACAACGTTTATCTCAACTTATAGTGGCTTGGGGGGGGGTTCCTTCGTTGAATTGACACATGGGAGAGCGAGAGAGAGGTACAGCAGGAGAAGGAGAGATTACAAGCAAGAGAAAGCAAGAAAGACAACGAAGAGAGAGAATGACAAACAGGAGAGAAAGAAGAGAGAGGAGATAAAATGACAAGCAGGAGAAAAAGTCAAGGGAAAAGGAGAGGGGGGACAACGGAAGAAGGAAATATTACAAGCAAGAGAGAGAAAGAGGAGGGAAAGAAAGATAAGAACAGGAGAGGTAGAGGGAGAGAGAGAGAGTAATCGAAACTAACATCAGTTACATGTTAGGATTCTTACGAGCGTCTTCTCGCGCACAGTTGCCAGCCAGGGAGCATCGAACTTAGTGGGTGCAATACCTCCACGAATCTTGCCCAGTAAACCCAGGAAGTGGTTCTTGGCGTCCATTGGCTGCCCACACTCCGTCGGCAATACTGACTGGAGAGCTTTGTCCACCTCTCCCGCTCTGAACCGGAAAGAGAGAGAAAGAGAATTATTCCGTCAAAATCGCCATACAATTTAAACACTGATTCAGTATATTTACAGACAGTGGAGATACTGTATATAATAAACAATGTTAATAGTAGATCGATTTAGGTTAAGTTACGTTATGTTAGAACCCACCTGTTGTTACACGTGACCCCCGCTGTGGTAGCCTGGGTACAGGTGGCATTGGTCACTTTAACTAGACACTGCTGGAGGTTGAACTCGGTGCCCAAGCAATCGAGGACGAGATTCCACACTGGAAGTTGACCTCGACCAAAGTGGGAGTTCCTGTGACCTCTGGCCTCACCTCCTCTATGACCCAGAACGTTACACACTACCTGGAGGGCGACACGACTCTTTACTGTCACTTTCTCTACCTGTCTGTTTGTCTTTCACTTTGTCTGTCTTTGTGGGAGAGAACTGTTTCACTGAGGGGATGTTTGTGTGTCTGTGGGAGAGAGAGAGGAGCATATATGTATGTGTCTTTGGAGAGAGATAGAGATAGAAAGAGACAAGAGAGAGATAAGGATCATTGTGCGATTCTTAGCTAAATTTCACCTGGCACCAAAGCTTAATATTTACCTGAGCGTCAAAGTCGTCAAAGCCCGTGTGACACAGGCTGCCCCACTCTCCTCCCAGCCGCACTTCCACTTGCCCCTCCTCGCGGGTTCTCCCACCAGATAGCCGCACCTCCACACCCTGTTGAAATAAATGCATAAATAAATAGACAAATCTCATAAATCTCGTAAAAATCCAAATAAATTCTTAAATTTTAAAAATATACTGTAAAATAAAGAGTACTTTAATATCGACACTGCATTTACTACGGAAAATACAGACGTTTATTCCGAAACACCGGGGAAGAGTGAAGAGTACTCGAGAGGGAGAGAGTGAAGGAATTTCAATGGGGGGTGTTTGAGTGTATTGATTGATAGATAGATAGATAGATATAGATAGACACAGAAATATAGATGGATAGACATATAGACATTTTCTTACCCCATCGTAGCAGAAGACGCCAGCATCTTCAAAGTGAAGGCAGTTTGTCATACCCCAAGGCTCCCTCAGGCAGTCGCCCACCCACGCCTCGTCTCCCCGACATTCCAACTGGTCGACCAAGATACTACCAGTGCCGACACCCACGTAGGAGTTGTCATATACCCCGACCCACTCGTCTCTGTACCCCAGGCTGCGACAGATCACCTGGGGGAGGGGGGAGGGGAGGGAAGATGAAGTGTTAGTCTCGACTCTAGAAGGTTGGTTTCTGTTTGCCTGTCTGTCTCTCTTCCTCTCTCTCATTCTATCTGCTTCTCTCTCTTTTTGCCTCTTTGCCGCTCTCTGCCTTTCTGTCTACCGCTTTCTTTCTGTGTGTCTCTATTGCTGTCTGCCCATCTCTGCCTGTCTCTCTTTCTGTCTGTCTCTCCATTTGTCTTTATTTCTGCCCGCCTTCTCTCTTGCTGTCTGCCCCCCTCTCTCTCTCCCTCGTAAACAGCGATAAAGGAACTCTCTTCACCTTGGCATCTTGGATGTCGAAGGCATCATCACAGACGGTGCCCCATTCCCGGTAGTGTTTGACCTCGACAGTACCCATGGCTGCCCCGGGCACATTCAGGGGCGTGTTGCTCCTCAGCCTCACGACACCCACGTCTTCACACACGTCAGGTTCCTCGTCGCTGTCAACAACACGTTAAACACTACAGTGCATCAGCTTGTATCAACCAGTGTTTATGTTACAATTAGGGAAAACTGAAACCTATGAAATACTGTATATATTAATGATCGTATGAAATATATATTTATGACGGAACTTACATGAACGAATTAAATAAGGAGGAGGAGAGAAGAATTAACTCAGAAACATTTAATAATTCGCTTCAATGACGCTGCTTAATTAAGTGAGCTTCTCGGATACGTTTACCCTATCACCAGTTAGGAGGAATTTCAGGAGTGAATATTTGATAGAACCTAACCAAGAGAGGTAGGTAGGTAATCAAGTGAAGAGAGAGAGAGAGAGAGAGAGAGAGAGAGAGAGAGAGAGAGAGAGAGAGAGAGAGAGAAACACGCATAAGAAAAAGACAAGGGAAAAGGAAAGAATAAAAGCAAGAGAGAGAGAGAAGGGAAGATTACATGTAAGAGAGAGAGAAGAGAAGGAAGTATTACACGCTGGAGAGATAGAGAGAGAGAGTAACAAACGGGAAAGAGAGACTAACCTAGACAAAACACTCGTGGTAAGAGAATTAAGACAAAGAAAGAGAGAGACACTCACAGGCCGTTGTCACAGTCGACCTCGCCATCACACACCCAGGACCGAGGCACGCAGGTGTTGTTAGTGAAGGACTCCCGGCAAGCGTACTCCTCTGGTCCACACTTTGGCTTGCCTTGTGCACACACTACCCCCGCTACCTGGGGATGGACGAGTGTGTGAGAGGTGGAGAGGTGAGATTGTGTGAGAGAGAGATGGAGAGGAGATAGTGTGAGAGAGTGATGGATAAGAGAGATGGTGAGAGAGAGATGAAAAGATAGTGCGACAGAGGGCGAAGAGATAGTGTGAGAGAGAGAGATGGACAATTAATTCAAAAGAAATGGAGAGAGAGAGAGAGTGAGAAAGGTTAGTTACTGTACATACAGGCATTTATGGAATGTTCATATTATGAATACCCAGTCTGCTCTTTCGTCAATAAAGGGAGCTAGGATGTAAACCTCAGCTATATATGGTGGTCTTACCTCAATAAAGGGAGCTGAGATGTAAACCTCAGCTATATATGGTGGTCTTACCTCAATAAAGGAAGCTAAGATGTAAACCTCAGCTATATATGGTGGTCTTACCTCAATAAAGGAAGCTAAGATGTAAACCTCAGCTATATATGGTGGTCTTACCTCAATAAAGGGAGCTAGGATGTAAACCTCATCTATATACAGGGGTTTAGTATATATATATATATATATATATATATATATATATATATATATATATATATATATATATATATATATATATATATATATATATTTTTTTTTTACGGTGATTAGCCCACCCAGGCAGATCCGAGCGAAATGTAAATAAATAAATAATAATAATAAAATAATAATAATAATAATAATAATAATAATAATAATAATAATAATAATAATAATAATAATAATAATAATAATAATAATAATAATAATAATAATAATAATAATAATAATAATAATAATAATAATAATAATAATAATAATAATAATAATAATAATATAATAATAATAATTGTTACCGCCACAATAGGATATGTTACTGCCATAATAGGATAAACTAGAAGAGAGAGAGAAAGGGTGTTGACAAATTCTGCTGGGGTGTTAAATGTGAAACAGATGGTCTTCCTCTCGGGCTGACTCACTCCCTGTGGGGTTCAGAAGACAGTCTCTATCCGTCCAGTGACCGATCAAGTCAGGAAATTAAATAAGTCCTACATTAGACCCGAAACACGTAAGTTTTATATGGTTTAACACCCTACTCTACTCAAATATACTATATGTAGTCGCTAATAGTGATGGAACATACGATTGAATTAATTATCTCATATGTAACATATGTAATTTGTATTCTGCAGGTTTTGACCAAATAAAGAACAATCGAGTCCTACATGTAAGGGTGTCATTAACCCATAGTCGCTCAATGGGCGGCAATAATAATAATAATAATAATAACAATAATAATAATAATAAAGAACAATAAAGAAATAAAAAAATGAAAAAAGATCAAAAGTGAGAAACAATATATGTATGTTGTGTTGTCAATAGCAAGAGAAACAATTGACACCATGCAATTGTGTTTAAATGAGGCAGAAAGTCAGATCAGCAACCTGGGACTTGGTCACAATTTTCGCAATGCCATGTGGCAACAGGGTCTACCATTAAACAATACATTATGCTTCCAATATCTTCCCAGGCGGTAATACTTCCGTTTGGTATCTGCCTAATACCTACTACCTTATGGTGGTCTTACCTCAATAAAAGGAGCTAGGTTAAAAGGTAATTAATGGAACCAGGTGGTAGCAGTCGAGGAGGAACGGGGTGGGTGACTTTGTAGTGGATCTCTCCTCTACAACTGCGTAGCCGCATTCCAATGCGACAGTATCCTAGCAACCAGCGAGCTGCTCGGGGGTCACCACCTGCTACGTCTACCCAAGCAACGGAGTCAAGAAACCGGCGAGTTCCCAAGGGTTTACTTCCGGCTGCTGTGTATATAAGCTCTCAGTTTCTCCATTGAGATTCATTCTACCCTACGTTCCTGAACACGCAACACCTCCTCCAAGCAAGCTCCTCGCTGTCCAGCTCTCATTCAACCTGGAGGTCAGCAACATGCAACATCTCCTCTAACGAAGCTCCTGCACATCTACCTCCTTCAGCACACTACTCACCGAAAGTGTCTTCTGAGCAGCTCCTCACCACACGGCATCTCCAGCACCAGACTGTCTTGTATATAATATATTTTATATAAGAAAACCACCACCTAGAGTTTCCATCCATCCCATCCTCAGTGCTAGACAACATAACTTCACGAAACCCTACAACTTTACCTCTGTTAGCCGGCAGGAATGAGGGCTACCGAGACCTCCAGGGAAGGTACATTCACTGAAGGAAGTAACCGAGCTGGGGCATACTGACTGATACACCCAGAACTTGACCTCCATACGGCGCCAACCTAAAGCATATTCACTTTTAGACACTTTACTAGGAAAACCTCCAAATTCTGACTCATATTTAGGAAAGATTATTTAAAAACATAACTACACGTATACATATTTATGCTTGTAATACATGGGTCAGATTTTTCCAAGATTCGTATGGTATTTGCTTCATTATAACTAACCACACCATTTTACCACTACATCACCGTGTCGCTACTGTATTCTGCACCAGTGTCATACATACCTGCAGGTTTCTGGCCGAAATGCCTGTTACCGTAGTATTTGACTGCCTGAGGGTACCCAAGGCCACGACACACTGCGTCCGCCTGGTCGAAGCTGAAGAGATCGTCACACACGTATCCCCACACACCCCCGACCTCCACCTGTCGCGGCGGCACACATGCGACACGTTACTAACACGTAGATCTCAGATAAGTCATTATTCACTAGACAAAGTCATTACATAATCAATAATATTTGGTTAATTGACTTTTGTTTTGTATTTCTGTTTGCAATATAGTCTGCGTGAATTAAGTAGATTCACAGATAAACAGGCCACGGACGCCAGCTTACCTCAAGGTTGCCTTCATGGGGTCCTGAGCCGCCCGTCAGTCTCACATTCCCGATTCTCTGACCACAAACCTGGCGAAGGAACACAAGCTACTACAACACCACCTCCTCCACCCCTTACGTGTATTATATACTCCATACATAAACTATATACATAAATAGCATACATATTAGGATGTGCATGTATATGTTTGTTCAGCTTGTGGAACAACTTAACCCCCACCCATCCGAGCAAAGACACGCTCCCTTCCTTTAAATCCTCTCTTAAAAAATATATATTTTCTAAGTATTAATATTTCTTGTAATACCTACTATATTTACAGTACCTGCTTTTATTGTACCATCAAAGCCGTTTTATTCGAAATTATCATGTAAATAGATAAGAAATTACCATTGCAATAAATATATTTGCCAACTAGACATAATCCTGACAGCTCTGTCCTCTTGTTCAACCTTAATACTGTACAACCCATATTGTACTGCATCCCCATTATACTTATATTTTTCAATTCCACTGTAATTTATGTATATACTTCTAATAAAAATAATAATAATAATCATAAATAAAATAAATAAATATTGAAGTGACAACCGTGGTAACATTATGAGATGTTATTATTACCACCATGCTATCGTACTACTCCAGATGATTCTAAATGTTACATAATACTTCCTTGAGATAAATGTATTGTATACAGTATATCAGGTGCCTACAGGAGAGCTCAGGTTCTCAACTGGCTCAGCCATGTTAATATTGTTATTATTATCCACTCTGTATATGTGTTTTTCTGGCTAAATAAACCGTTTCAATTCAATTTTAATGATACAATTTACAATACTGGGAATTCCAGTAATCATTCGTATATCTGAAGAATTGTGTACAATTTGATTTTTTTCTCGACCATTTAAGCATAATCTACAGTACATTAGACGTAAATAAAAGCACCCCCCCCCCCATTACCTCTCTCTCTCTCTCTCTCTCTTAACATGTACAGTTAACACCCTTCAGGCGAACACTTTTCTTCTCAACTCACAACCAAGCACCCTTATGTGACTCTACCTACCTCTAGACACAGTAGCAGCAGTAGTAGCGGCCACACCATCCCGCCACACTTGCTCATCCTTCTCGTTGTGGCCACACCTGATGTACACATACACGAATTTAACTATACCAGGACGGCTATTGTAGTCTTATTAGATAACGAATCAAGATATACGTCAATAACGGGACAGCTAATGGTCTTTATAAATAATTAAAACAGATACATCTATCCTACATTTGTTAAAGTACTATGAACATAATCTGAAAAGAATGCACTGGACAATGAAGGTCTTAAAGTAACAAGCAAAACCGACCGCCGAACGCCTGATATAGTAAAAAAAAAAAAGTGGTGGAAATGGTACAGAAAAAAAGTCTCCGTAGCCTACTATACCTGTAAACTTGCAAAGTTGGACGCATGCACTTTACGCTAAAAGAGAAGAAAAAAATCACATTCGTTATAATTCTGATTTTACCATTTTAGTTGAAGGACATACCTGAAACCGTCAATTGATATTTTTATTTAGTGATGTGGTGAGCTAAGTACCGTGATGTTAAAGAGTTTGTGTGCGAGGGAGAATGACTGCCGCACCCTGCTGTGGACGCCTCAACACTGGGGACCAAGGTTAAGGATAGCACTCCTTTTATAATCCACCTGCCAAGGGGCGTGCATGTTGCCTGTTGTCATATAACTTAAAGTTCCTGGACGTTCAAATATTTTTATTCATTCAGAACATTACGTTTAATTTCATAGTGCAAATGACGTATGGCGCCAGGGTACTGTGTCCATTATCTGGTTATTATATTAATGCCTTATATGTGACGTGTTATTACTGACTATCTTCCCTCTCTCTTCCCCAAGACTTTCGCCTTACTGGCTTGTCTTGTTACGGTATATTGCAACTGCAAGACCGACCAAACATTTCCCATTGCGTTATGCTGAGCGTAGCTTACATCGCCTGTCAGTAGAAACGCGAAAGCCTTTTACGGAATGAAGGATTATAGATAGATAGTGAGCAAATATTATAAACCAATTATAGAAGATATGAGTAAGTAGCAGACGACTAGGGAAGGGGGTACAACGACTAGGCAGGGTGGGCACAATGACTAGGCAGGGGGACAATGACTAAGCAGGGGACACAACGACTAGGCAGGGAGGACACAACGAATAGACGGCAGATACAACGACTAGACGGTAAACACAACGACTTGAAGTTGGTGAAATGTAGGTGATAGTGCAGTGGATGTAGTGTAGATGAGAGTATAGTGGATGTAGTGTAGATTCAAGATTGTGTAGCGTAGTGTAGTATAATTACGGACATAAGCAAAAAACTAACCCAGAGAACTCCGGGTACCCCGGTTTAGGAATAGGGCGAAAATGTAGTAGTAATAATAATAATAATAATAATAATAATAATAATAATAATAATTCATAAAAAAATAAAAAATAAAAAATAATTAAATAATAATGATAATAGTAGTAATAATAATAACAAAGACAAAAATGAAAAAAAAGAGATCAAGAGTGAGAAATAATACATGTATGTTGTATTGGCAAAGTAAGAGAAACAATTGAGACCTGCAATTGTGTGTAAATGAGGCAGAAAGTCAGATCAGCAACTTGGGACTTGGTCCCAATTTTTGTGGCGCCATATGGCAGCAGGGTCTACCATTAGACAACCACATTATACTTCCAATATCTTCCCTGGCGGTAGCACCTCTCTGTTTGGTAACTGTTGATGCCTAGTCTATATATATATATATATATATATATATATATATATATATATATATATATATATATATATATATATATATATATACATACATAAACCTTGAATAAGCTCTCAATGACCTTGTTGATGCGCAGTAAGATCCTTAGAATTATAAAGTCAACAAGTTTGTAATATTGCTACCTCACGTAAATTGTCATCTCTGATGAAGTATTTTACCCACGTCAACACTTACGTTTCTGACATTTCTCAATATTTTCTTTAATAAATATTCTAACAGCCAATATACATCAGGCAATACAATACCATTATTATGCCAGGCATGTCAAAGGCCACCTAGATAGAGACTACTCAGGTGGCTTTGGCACGTCAGGGCCATCCAGCGCAGAGCCATCGCAAATGATTATCTGCTGTGTTATCCACCCACGCTCAAGGTTATTTTAGTAATCAAGATGATATATTACAGATTATAAATAGCTGATGATACAAGGTAAAGAGAACCAAGAGAGGAGTTTAGCTAAATAATGATAATAATAATAATAATAATAATAATAATAATAATAATAATAATAAGTAAAAGTCAATCAACTACACTTGTTAAATCCCTCACGTTGATGCGAATGGACAAATGGGACTTATAATAGTTGTGTATATGTGCCTCAGTCACTCTCAAGAATTAAGGGAACAAATTAATTCTTCCTACAAGGATGAATTTGTTCTCTGAATCCTGGAGTTTTTATTTATTTTTTCTAAATAATATACTTTTGCCCTTTTTTACGACTAATATTAGCTGTAATTCTTACTTAAAACTACATAACAAGTGGAGGCTACATAATGCGCGGCAAAGTATATAACATATATAAGCTACATAGTGCCCAGCTCGGTACGGCTGAAATTTCAAGGTGGATAAGGCAAGGGTGTCTAATTTTCCTGAGATCCCAATTAGTCAACAAAGCTTTACATAACTACTACTATAGGAAGATACTGACTCGGAAACTTTTTTTTAAGTAAATTACCCCCGACAGTTCGCAGGAGGACGTTTGAAGGAGAGAGATATCAGCGCCGCCTTACAGTTGCCAATTGCAGGGCAGTGAAGTCGACTGTTAAACATGTAATAATAAAAATTTAAGCGGGCGGAGACATTGAAATCTACATTAATTATATTATTTTAAGACAAGTTATGGGGTGGTTATAACTTGTTGTATTTCTGTATGTTATTTCCATTGCTCCATTCAATGTCTCGTAACCAGATAGCAAAGATTCGGACACCTTCGGAAAGCCTTGCCGAGTACAGTACTAGGAAATATTTGGGTGTCAAGGAATTTATAATCTAGCGTCGTGGAGTCTACCCTTATAATGCATTCACATAACTTGATTAAATCTTTTACACACATCACCGAGAGCAGATTAGTAATGTGAGGTTGTATTAACAACTAAAATTGGGACCAAATAATGTATTGTTCGCATATACTGGAAGGGTACGGAATTCGGGTAAATGTCCTAGCGTGAATAGACTTTCTACATGACCGCAAGCAGTGTGTGGTGATTAATGGCACGAAATCATCAATCCTACCTGTCACAAGCGGGGTACTGTGGGGTACGAGATGTTTGGTTCACACTCAGGATGGGATGGAGAAAGGAAACTCACAATGTGCTCTGTATACATATTGTATTGGATGTACAGTGCAGCTTGGTGCTGGGAAGTGGCAGCGTGGTTACAAGCGTGATGTAGAGAGAGCTGGTTGGTGAGGATGATCAGAGGAAGACCAGCTTGTGGGTCGCCATGCTGCCGGCGGGAGCGAGGGCCGCCAGGCAGTAGGAGGTGGTGGTGTTGCTTGCTGGTTGGTGTAGGTAGAAAGAGAGGTAGGTCACCACGAGGTCAGGTCATATATAACGGAGGTAGGCGTGGCTTAATAGTTGACCTCCGTCATGAAAGGCGGCGCTGGTTGACCTAGACCACGAGGCATACACTGGGAAATTCGCGGGTCGGCTACTCAGCGACAAACAGCGTGTAGGGGTATTGAGATATTAATGTTGTCTAGCACTCAGGATGGAAGGAAACTCTAATGTGGTTTTCTTATATAATATAAGTTATATGATAGACAGTCTGGTGCTGCCGTGTGGTGAGGAGCTGGTGAGTAGAGACGTTCGGTGAGTAGCGTGTTGAAGGAGATAGATGTGCAGGAGCTTCGTTAGAGAAGATGTTGCCTGTTGCTGGCCTCCTGGTCGAATGAATTGCTGAAAGCGTGGAGCTTGCTGGAGGAGGTGTTGCTTGTTCAGGAAGATGGGCAGAATGAGAGTTGGTTGGTGAGGAAGCTCAGAGAAGGACAGCTGGTGGGTCGCTATGCTCGCTGGCGGGAGCGAGGACCGCCAGGCAGGCGAGGAGAAGCGAGGGCTGCCAGGCAGCGGCGGAGGAGGTGGTGTTGCTTGTTCAAGAAGAATGGTCAGAATGAATCTCAATGGAGAGACAGAGCGTATATACCCAGCAGCAGCCGCCAGTCCTCTATGAATCATGTTGGGAAAACCCGAGAAGTCGCTGGTCTTTTGGTTCTGTTGCTAGGATACGGTGACATTGGAATGCGGCTACGCAGTTGTAGGGGGTTGTAGGGGAGACGTCCACTACAAGCGTTTGTAGGGAAGGAATCCACTACAGTACCACAGGGCAGTGCATTGGGCCCGCTGTTGTTTGTTGGTTTCATAAATGACATGCCTGACATTGTACACTCCTCCATGCAAATGTTTGCCTATGACGCCATTATTTCGGGAAATCAAGAACCAAGCGGACTGTGAAGAGCTGCAAAAGGAACTCTGTGGGCTCCAAGAATGGTCGAAGAAATGGCTGCTGAGATTCAATGTCACGAAGTGTAAGAGGATGCCCCTGGGGCGTACCAACGGTAAGGGGGCGTATCATATGTCCCAACGGGATGAAGAAACTGCACTATTTGAGACCTGTGTGTATGTTGACAATGAGCTGAAGTTCTCGGGGCATTGCGAGAAGAAGGTAAATCAGGCAAATAAATTATTGGGTCTTATAAGAAGGTCGTTCAAGGACAATAATTAACTGATCACTGATTTTCACTGCATCGTCTATGGAGACTTTTTCACCTGTGCTCACAATTTCATCATCACTACTACTACCCTCATGCATATCTTTATTTAGCACCATTTCAGTTATTTCCCCATCACTCAACGAATGCACAAGTGCATCATTGTCAATGTTCAGCACTTCTTCAATGTCAGCTTCCTCCAACTTATTTACACTTTCAGATGATAAACCTTTGGCGCAAGTAAGGTTTGATGTCGTCGTCGTCATCTCCTCCTCCTTAGTGACACGAAATCCTTCTAAGTCTTCATCTTCATGTACATCGTTGTAGGCCAAAGTGAGCCAAGCATTTGTTAATGTTAGTTTATCAACAGTGTTCCAAGCATTAGCAACTGCATAAAATGGCATCCTTAACATTGAACTCTTTCGTGAAGCTTTGGATTCCTTCGCCTGTTGACTGCATCAAGCATACATTTAAAAAAAAATCATCTTTATATTTGCTCTTCATGGCCTGTAAAATTCCTTGGTCACAAGGCTGTATTAAAGACGTCACAATGAGGGGAAATAAATGCCAAAAACATTACTTTTCACAAGAAGTTCAGCAGGGGGATGTGTGGAGCAGTTGTCAAGGAACAACAGAATTTTACAGTTTGCTTCCAGTCTAGCTTCCCTGCAATGAGCTCGTGCTGCTGGTACAATGTGGTTATTGAACCTGTCAGAAAATAGCTATCAGGTTACCCATGCTTTCTTGTTGGCATAATAATGCACGGGTAAATTGTGTACACCTTATGGACATCTTGGTCGTTGACTTTTTCCAATCACTGCCAACTTCAACTTGTATGTGCCTGCAGCATTGGCACACTCAAGAACAGTCAACCTGTCCTTAGCATCCTTAATACCTGTTGGTGCTCTCTCATCAGCCGTTGTTAACGTTTTCTAGGAACGTAGCACCACTACAGAGCCGTTTCATCAGGTTTTCATCAGATATAATTTTGGCAAATTCATCAATGTAATTTTCAGCTTCTTAAATTTCTGCAGCCAACCTTCTCAATGTTCACACTCATCATCAATGTTTAATTCTTCATGGTATATTCTAGCTTGCTTCATGACCAACAAACCAGTCAGTGGAACACGTTCACTTCTTCGTTGTCGAATCAACTCGGACAGCACACGGTCAAGATCTTCATTTTTTGCCCTATACAATGTTTTTCTGTTTTTCATTATTTTTGGGTCATCACTGTCAGTGTAAAACTTCAACAACTTGTCTTCGTTTCTTTAAGTCATAAAATGGTAGATCCCACACCATATTTTTCAGTACGACGCTGCACAGGTACACCACGAACAAGCTTCTGTAACAACTCCACTTTCTGTGCTATTGATAATGAGAGATGCTTCTTCTCACTGTTTCCTACAGGGGTATCTGAAGCTCTTTTGGGCATTTTCAGTGAAATTAAACAAAATTACATAAAATTTAAGAAGAGCAGATGCAAATACGTGACTAGTACTAACACCAAGACACAAGTGACGCCTCACTCACACCTCCGCCTGGCGTGGGTCAAGCGCCCAGTAGCGTCATGTTCCACATCACACGAGTGATGCGCCACGAAAAAACTTTCGGGTTTTCAGATAAAGGATTGTCAACCTGTATTCGCTTTTCTCGGACTGGGGTCTGCCCCAATTAGTCTGATTTATCGAGGTTCTACTGTATACAGTGCACAAAAAATTATGGGTTGATGGGTAAACTTTCTTAAAATTTGCTTGATGACAACTGGGACATCAGGTAATCACTATTAACCCACACAGTGAAAAATTTATAGAAAACGATAATGATGATGTCACCTACAACAATTCCAAAATTGGTAGAACATGTTAAGTTAATGAAGGTAAAAGAAAACCAAGTATGCTAAGTATCTTTATCAAAAGGGTCCACTGACTTTATCAACAATTTATTAAAATTGTTCAACATATTGAATACTGTACTGTGTATCAAGATGAAAATTTTCCTATCTTTACAAAGTTTATACTGTTTGCTGAAGAAGAGTAAAATTTGCAATAAATGCTTCAAAATGCTGGAGGGCCGTAGAGACTGCTAAAACACAGAAATGATAAGTACAATAACAGACCTTGCTCTGCAATACAAACCAAAATAATATTTTAGGGAGTTATTCCATTTATCTTTTTCATTTTATAATCAAAACATTATGAAGCTCTGAAAAAATATAAAGAAAATATTATGTATTGATATCAAATGCAAACTTCACTTAGGATACATTACATAATTGCTCATTTATACAGTATATCCATATTATATGAAACAAGTTTGTGTTGACTTCCACGAAAGAATGAAGTGTAGGAGTCATAGCCAAGGACCACTTTTATTAAAAAACTCCAGCAGAAGGCACATTATAAAACAAGATCATTCACATCATGGAGAACCAATCTATAACTAAACTACATCAAGAACAAATTTTAGTATTCCTTAATCAGCCATGTCATTCATCCCCAAAGCAATTACTATACTGTACTAATAACTCCAAAGCATTCGTTGCAGTATTAACAAAATACTAGCAATATTTTCATATATATTTTGTATTCTTTCATTATACAATAAAAACTTCTACTTTTTACTACCCCAGCCTCCCCAGAGACCCTTAACTAAGCCGGTAAGGCCGCCGCCAACTCCAGCTCCCGACGCTTGCTTCTTCGTCTCTGTTTTATCGTCGAGTGAAGGGAAATCGACGTGGTTTAGCGCGAGGTCGAAGAACAGTGGCTTGCACGGCACAGAAGTCATTGGAGATGGCACTTGAGCTACATTTGGGCTGTTCGAGGTTAAACTTGAGTCTTCAATGTATTCATCCAGGCGGTCGACAAGCAACTGGCAATAATGAAATTCAATTTGTATTACATGGTTACATCAAATTATTTTAAATATCATTGCATTAAACACAACCACAACTACACAGAAATAAATAATTATATATAAATATTAATTATGTAATACAATACTGATACAGTATATGCATGGAAAATAAAGTCACTCAAAAAGCATCTTTACAAAATTGTACCGAGAAAATATGATTCAACAGATGAAGGATTTTGACAACCCAACCGAGACAACAGGATTCTGTGTTCATTATGAAATTCATCCCCTATTGTAAATAAACAAAACAATTTCCTTAACTTGATAAACCTGTTTAGTTTCCTTCATAATAAGTGGCCCAAAAAGTGACTTACTCTCACTCAGCTGTTACTTCAAACACTGGACTATAACTCTGGAAACTATACTGCACTGTACACTACTTTCTTGTGATATTTTATTTTGCAATTCATTTGTTAGCCCCTGTTGTGGAATAAAACTTCATGACCTGTTCCTTCTGGGACTTAAAGTCAGTCTCTGGTGGCAGTGATAATGTTAAATGTTAACAACAGAAGTTGGTCCCAGCTGACCTGCAGGTGATCTGGTAACATTGTATGAGGAAAGTTGACAGATGTGCTTTAAATGACTAGTTATATAAGATTTATCATTGGAGATTATCTAATAGTAAATTTCATGTATATACAGTAACTTTTTTGAAGAAATTCTCATTACACATGAAAAATACTCAATCGCATCAGCAGCACAACCAATCATATATGTCTGGTTCTCTGGTTATGAATCACCCTCCACCGTCATATACTTCTCAATTACATTATTTTCCAAAATCGTATACCTGTACATTGACACTAACTTATATACATGAAATATATTCTTAGACAATCTCCAATAATAAATATTAAATAACTACACTCTTTCCAAGCTAACCTGGGCCGTAAGCCACGCCCCTCTTCTATACTAATAGCAAATTATTTCAAGGCATTGGCACTTCGAAGAGGATGTTTGAAATTGTTAAATATTTAATATAAAAGGTTGAGATAAAACACTCAGGAGAACCAATCAGCTATCTGTAGCTATAGATGAGGGGTGTGGCTTACGGGCCAGGTTAGCGTGGAAATACTATAGTCATTTAAAGCATATCTGCCAACTCTTCCTCACACATTGTTACCAGAGCACCTGCCTCATATCATGCAGGTCAGCCGAGATAGACTTCTGCTGTTAACTGTACTACAGTAGAACGTCGATTTAAAGCGAATCGATTTAAAATTATTGATTTAAAGCGACACCGTATCAATTTAAGCGAATCTTTCCAATTTTATGCGAGTCATGTGGAAATACACACTATTTTAAGTTTCCCGCCAGATGCCTCTCTGGGCATGCTACAAGGCTGCCTGCCACCCTCCCACACCCTCACGCATCCTCAGTTCTCGCGCTGACACTCTAGTGAATGGACATCCTGTGTGACACTATCTCCTCCTACCACATGCATCAACCATCTCCATTATGTCCAAGAGGTCAGCCACTATATCATTAACGACCACCAAAGACCAAGAAATCAAAGCAAGCAATTACACTGGAGCAGAAAAACAAGGTGCTGGAAGCACTGCAGCGTGGAAATGGTGCTTTCCGCGTGTCAGATGCGTCCACAGCAATACCACTAGACAATGATGTGGATGATGAGCTGGTCGAGTTAGGCTCTGCATCTTCAGAGGATGAATTGCCTAACTAAAGTTGAGGGAAAATCAATTTTTGATAGCACAAAGTAATTAAAAAAAATCAGTTGAGAGGAAAGTGATAGTGCCGATCAGTGGTGAAGAGGATAAAAGTAAAAATAGGAGTGAGGCAGATGTGAGGCAGGCGATGTGCGGCGCCAGCACAACCACCCTCTCACATCAGCTGATCACTAGTAAACAGGCCATTTCGAGTCCCATAATTTTAGCTGTGTTGATTTATGAGTGCTTGTTTTAGCATAATACTACAAAAAACAATGTTTTGTTTATTCTAGGAGATGGGCTGTGATGCATCTGGGTACTCTCTCAGTCGGGGCAGGGGGAGGGCTAGTGATGAAAGGCAGCAGACAATACAGTACAGTACCGTCCAGCTCTCAACTCGACTGCAGGGAGTGCTTGCTGCATATACAGCTCCTCCCCGACTTACGACGGTTTCAGGGACCCAAATCCAGGTTGCAAGTCGAAATGGTCGTAAGACAAAACTGCTTAATACATAGAAAATCTAAAATGGGTGTCTCTTTTTCTTCTCAGCACCACAAAACTCTCACTTTTAAGCTTGCCAGCCATTTTAAAGTGAATTACAAACGAAAATTTTGTCTGTGTAATGACGCTGGGACTCGAAAATACGTAATTTGACAAAATTTTGGTACGACTGAGGCAGATAGTAAGTGCAGGTGGTCGTAAGTCGAGTAGATTGTAAGTCGGGGAGAAGCTGTATATCATTACGCCATATATTTTTCCCATATTTATTAGTTAATTAAAGTCTTTTTAGTATTTTGTTTCTCTCAAGTACCAAACTAAATTATTCCATTGAAACAACACTTCGATTTAGTGTGAATTCAATTTAAAGCGACCATTCTTGGAACGTATCTCGTGTTATATTGACATTCTACTGTATTCATCAACAAGCTTGCAGTAGAAATCTAATTAAACATTCTGAGAATGCCCTAACACACCACCAGTCCCTGGTTTACAAACTTAATGTATTGATGAAAAGGTGTTTGTAAACAAGATCATTAAATCCTACAGAAATAATGGCATAATTAATTAATTGGTCCCCAGATGCAAGTGAAAACTGCATTTCTTAAACAAAAACATTAATAAATACTGTACAGCTATCAAAACATAAATTAATAATAATATTACAGTGTAATAATAATAATAAAGTACAGCATAATAAATTAAAAAACTTCACCAAATGAATGATCAGTGTTAAACCACAACACAGGACACGTACAGTATGATGCCACTCAAACAAAACAGATGCATTATGGGGGTGAGACATGTAAACACATGGTGCTACTCAAACAACACAGATGCATTATAGGGAGAACACATGTGTAAAACAAGTGTGAGGAAGACTACTAAGTGTTTGCTTTCCAACATTCAAGTGCCTGAATCCCTGTATTTCACTGATCGGTGGCAGTAACTTCAAAAGAGCAGTGTTTGTATAAGCAAAACAGACTTTCAACAGATCAAAATGGTTATGAAGTACAGTACATATAACATTCATATGAGCAAATGTTTATATGCCAGATGTTTGGACACTGAGGAATGCCTGTACTGTACTGCACTGTACAACCAATATGTAAAACTTGAAGACAATAACAGTTTAACAGTTGAGATGATCCCACTGTTCAGGCATCTCCCACTTTACAAAAGGTTCCATTCTTGGAAAACCTTTCATAAATCAGATCACATTTTCCCATACACGGTAAAAGCTGAGATACATTCCTACAAAAATAAATAAATAAAGAAGTCTTAAAATGCCATAAAACAAGATTTTTATGATAATATTTGGAATAAACATAAACCAATACTAAACATAATACATGCAGTACAGTACAGTACAAATTCCATGCCTGTACTGTACAGTACGTACAAGACATCTGATGAGATAAAAGTGAAGAGTAAACACTAGGCCAACATCAACAATATATATATTTATATATTTGGAGAAACATTAAAGACTGAACATGATGAACACTTGCAGAAAGAAACTATTGCCTTCTGCTGTTTTTAATTAAGTATTAATACACTGAATTCTTTCAATGGGTTGTTTAATGCAGAGCCGTAGCTAGAGAGAGTTCGGTCAACTCGGTGACATGCAGGCGCTATGTTGTTACTCAGCTGAAGAAGTAGTTTGTGCTATATGTAGAAGAAGAAGAAGAAGAAGAAGAAGAAGAAGAAGAAGAAGAAGAAGAAGAAGAAGAAGAGGAGGAGGAGGAGGAGGAGGTTTATTCAGTAAAAAATTTTCATAATGTTTACAATGGAATAAGCATTTATAAAGTATGTAGGAGACAACCCAAGAAGACCTCCCACCCGCTGAGTGACAACATGACGCCTGGTTGGTCAAACTCACTCTATCTATGGCTCTGGATTAATGTAGTCAGCAAAAAAAATCCAAATTAATACCAATAACTAATGATATAAAACAATTATTGCAATATCTATTATGATACAAAAAAAGCTGCAGGATAACATGACAAGTAATGATCTTGTCCACTTTAACTGAAGAGGCTTATACCATCATCATCAGGTCAAAGAACATGTTTCCTGTTCTCTGAAGAATATAATGTAAAATACTTGACACACACACCCCTACTGTACTGTACTTACTTTCTTGCCCTTTGTAGACAGCTTAGATACATTTGGAGTTGAGGATTCAGATGCAAGAATAGCCTGTGCATGGGCAGTAAACTTTTTGCTATCTACCAATACAGACAAATTCTCCAGTCCTTTTACCATAGACATCTGAGGGTAGAACAAGATTTTTTTTTAACTCTTATATAAGAAATATACTCAACATAAGCAAGGACTATGAATGTGATCAATCCACAAGTGGATCTGATGGCTGGCTGGGGTTAGAGAAACACGGGAAAGAGCTGTTTCCTTATTTTTCTTATCATTTCAGGCTACACAGAACCGAAACATTAGAGAAATCAAGAAACTTCGCTCTTTCTTGTGTTTCACCCCTCTCCCACACATCAAATACATAACTACTTAAGACAAACCTATATGAGAGTAATTGAACATTTACAACATCCAAATGGAGATGAAAAGATAGTTTAGTTATGAAGCATGATTATAGGTTCAGTATTATAACTCAACCGTATATAGGTTCAGTATTATAACTAACAGTATATAAGTTCAGTATTATAACCAACAGTATTTAGGTTCAGTAACATAATTTAAGTGGAAGTAAAGATATTGTCACTGTTACCTTCATCTGGCTCTTGTCTGCAGCTTTGATGTGTGCTAAAGTTCTCTCATATAAGACAAGAGCCTCGGCCCACTTCTCCATCTTAACGAAACTCTCAGCCACAAAATAACATCTGCAAAATGGAATAAAGTCTTTAATTAACCTGCACGTTTTAAGAAAGTCAACATACTGTAGATACTGTACAGCTAGTGTGACTGAGTGACAAGGAAGGCTGGGTGAGTAATGTGTTACTTTCACACTATGTACAGAGCCCTTCACTAGTGCATTTACAGGGGCTCATTAGGTTTTGTGCAGCATGGCAGCCCTGTGTTTGTTTACATTCAACAGAAGGAAAATTGCAATAGTAAACATACTATACTATGTGTATGATATATATGGACACAAAGTAGTACCTTCAGCTGTGTATTATTATATTACTCTTATATTACTCCATTAATTATGTATAGTAAAGTATTACAGAACATGTATTAATTCTAAGTAATATTCCATTTCTGGTGCACCATGTTATGTATATAAATTATCATATTTATACTTTATGTATTCAGCTTGTGAATGCTGGCATCTGTACATCCCAGCGCGCAGTAATACATAGAGAGAGTGAAGACAGAGTCCTTGTGGTGGACGCGAGCTCCTGGGTCCTTCTGTATATATATATATCTCCCGTACGAGAATAGAACCTACTTTTAAGACAAAAAGTGTTTGTGTATACCCTCAGTAGTATAGAACATTTTGTGGGTATCCAAGACACACGTCAGACTATGGAATCAAATTAAAAAAATATTAAAACAAATATCTCAATGATAATGATTTGTGGAATGTTTATATGACATGCCCCTGTAAATACACTAGTCACGAGGAATATACACTCAACAAAAACTTGTCCATCACTATAAACACTATGTAATCTGAAAAATGAACAAAGACTCTGAAACCATTCCTAGTTGACAAGCCCCATTGTGCTCCTTCTCACATCCATCATGCCTAGGTGTTGGAGAAGTTTTTGTGAAGTGTACATCCACAAAAAATAAAATTAAAATAAAAAAATAAAAAAAATAAATAAAAAATCCTGTCAGTCCTCTCTCCCATACATGAACCTTTGAGTCTTGATACATAACACAGCATACCCTCTATGGGCCCAACAATGTGTGGTGTCTCAGAATCACAGGTTCATGAGTCTGAGGCTGGTTCATGGATGGGACGGAGGATTAATGGGACGGTTTTTAGTGGGTGTACAGCACCAGAGTGGGAAGGACTTTAAAGGGAAGAAAAAATAAATACAATTTGAAATATTTGACACTTTTTCCTTTTTTTTTTTACTTTAACTAGAATGAAAAAGATAAATATTTTATTTATGCATATACAGTGAAACCTCTATATACAGTAATGGAATTCTCTCTCCACATAATCCATTACATGGGGTGTTATCGCCACGCATAATTGTGCGCGCCAACCACATGTTAAGTGAAGAAACTGTTTACAACTCACAATAGCTTACTAAGCGAGATGGAGCTGGTAGCAGCTGTGTGACTGCCTGAGGGACAGTCTATCTTGATTTTCGACAGCCACCATTTTTCCTGCAGGACATTATATTTGTTCTCATTGGTCTAACCCTAGACCCCAAAACGTGAGTGTGATTGTGAACTGTTGAATCCTCTGAGAACTCTAAATAACTTTAATAAGTGTAATTATGTACTGTATGTTGATCTTATTATTCAAACTGTGTCCTGATGTACCAGCAGTTGTTATATGTGAATTGTATTCAACAGGTTTTGACCGAATTATACCTATCGCGTCAACGACAAGGGTCTTATTGTCCTGCACAAACCAAAATCGCTCCTATGAGCAATTACATGGGGGTTTCACATCTCACACTCTCTCGATATAATAGACTTCCCTCACCACAGAGTTCGTTAAATAGAGGCGTCACTGTAATTTTAAATAATATAAATATTAAGAGGCAGCTGCTATTCACAATCACTATATTTAAGGAAATATTACAATACAGTACGGTATATGTTCCCAAAGAGATCGGTAAAACGATCAGCAATCACTCACCTGTGGGCTTTATATGCCAGCACTTGTCCCTCAATGCTCTGCTTCAGCTGGAGGTCATCTTCCAACCCTGAGAGATGGGTGATCTCTTTCAAATTCTGGATAATAATCTCCTGTAAGCGCACCAGGTCTTGCAACTTGGGAGCCTTCTTACCATCTTCAACCTTTGAAAGAATAAATGTTCTCTATGGATTATCAAATTATATTTTTTTCCACTTGTTCTGTTATTCGAAATATGAAAATTCACTTAAATTTTTTGGGGAGGGGAACTTAACCTATTCGTATATCAAGGGATACCTGTACTACTCAAAATTCCTAAAGCACATTACATACTTATTTTAGTTCTATAATTAGTGTAACAGGGTCCAAATAAAAATATAAATTCACAACAAAAACTACATGTTTGCAGGTTAGTTAACTCCCATAGCTATAAACATTTACACCGTTAAATCAATAATTGTATCATTACTCAACATCGGAGAACATTATTACTGACTATAATTAAAAAGCTTATGCTAAGAAAATTTTGAGTACATTATTATACATGCAGTCCCAAAATCACCTTTCCAATATTCTTTTTTTAAAGCAGAAACCATTTTACCATAGACTCCCATTATGAAAACCGAGATGCAGTACATTCTGAAGGGAACTTCCTCAAAATGTCTTAAAATGCTACAAGACATGACATTAATAAAAAATTTTGGTGTTCTATAATGATTATAAGCCAAAATTACACATACATAGTAAGTCAAATGCATACAACAGAGTGCTGTTTTTCACCAAGTTTTAAGCTCTACAATTTCTTACAAGTAATTCTAAGCTTAAAACTTCGTGAGAAACTGCACCACTGGTTGCGAGGTCCAGTCAACATAATATGGTTTTTAGTCTTGTGACACACCTACCTGTAAGTCTACTGCACTGTACAATGTCAGATACTTGGATTTTCTGATGAGACTTTTAACAGTTAAACTTAATTTGTTTAACATTTTACTCTTTCCACTGACATCAGATTAAACATGAAGCAAAAGACTGATACATTATTCAGTCCATAATTGCTTCGGATTCATGAGTCAAAATCTCGGGGTTCGTGGTTCAGGAGGAGAGGTGAAAGGACTTGACTGTACTATATAGTACAATCCCCTTCACTAGTACATTTACAGGGGCTCATCAGCGCTGTGTTTGTTTACAATGTACAGAAGGAAACTCGCAATAGTAAACATACTGTACATGGAATCAAAGTAAATCAATATTAAAACAAATATCTCAATATAATGATTCATGGAATGTTTATATTACGAGCCCCTGTAAACGTACGAGTGAAAGGAACTGTACTTTCAACCTGTTAAAACAGTCTTGTATTACTACAATGATCATACACATGGACATTAATACAATGTCATACTCCAAAGCGACTCAGTTTGTGGCTAGTTCTAAGTTGGAGTACAGTACTGTACAGTACAGTACGGGCAGTCCCGAGCTATGAATACCAGACTTGCGAACACCTGTATTTACAAACGAGATCCCAATATAATCATCGCAAATGTTTATAATTAAAAACCCATTTTCCATATTTTTATTATTCTATATTGTTTAACATCACTTGATTTACAGTATTTTTTGTGTATGGGATATTAATGTTGTTTTGTATGGGCAGGGTTGTGCTTTACCCTAACCTAAACTATGGAATTAACACTCTTCTCACTTATGAATAGATTGAGTAACAAACAGAGACCAGAAACATAACTTGTCCGTAACTCGGGGACTGCCTGTACAGTAATTCCTTTCAATTTCAGAATATTTAACTGAAAACCCTTTAGAGAAGATAAATGTTAGTTGCAGTGTAACCTCTATTTAACAGACTACAGTACAGGAAAAGTCCATTATAACGAGGGTCTATTAGCTGTGAA